CACAACCCTCAGTGAACCATAGAAAAATATTTATGTTAAGTTTCTATTGGTAGCTGATTAATACTACTCTTTAGCAATTGCTGTGAAATATCTTTTTTTGTATGTGTGAGGAAGATTTGCCCTAAGCTAGCATCGTTGCCAATCTTCCTCTTTTTTTTTGCTTGAGGAAGATTAGCCTTGCACTAACATCTGTGCCAGTCTTCGTCTATTTTGTATGTGGGATGCCTCCACAGCATGGCTGACGAGTGGTGTAGGTCCACACCAGGATCCTAACCCTCGAACCTGGGCCGCCGCAGGTGAGTGCAGGGAACTTTAACCACTCGGCCACAGGGCCGGCCGTGAAATATCTTTTAAATTCCCTTTTGAGGAGTACTTTTCCTAAGACATCAGAATCTTTCACGCCTCATTCTTTTTTTCGCTTTAGAAATTTTTAAACATATTATTTTGAAACTAAAAAGCTTCTGCACAACAAAGGAATCCGTGAACAAAACAAAAAGACAACCTAACAATTGGGAGAAGATATTTGCAAACCATATATCAGATAACGGGTTAATATCCAAAATATACAAAGAAGTAATACAGCTTAACAACAAAAAACCAACAATCCAATTAGAAAATGGGCAAAAGATCCAAACAGAGATTTCTCCAAAGAAGATATACGGATGGCCAACAGGCGTATGAAAAGATGCTCAACATCATTAGCTATCAGAGAAATGCAAATCAAAACTACAATGAGGTATCACCTCACTCCAATCAGAATGGTTATAATTAACAAGATAGGAAACAACAAGTGTTGGAGAGGATGTGGAGAGAAGGGAACCTTGTTCACTGCTGGTGGGAGTGCAAACTGGTGCAGCCACTATGGAAAGCAGCATGGAGCATCCTCAGAAAATTAAGGCTAGATCTACCATATGATCCAGCTATCCCACTGCTGGGTATTTATCCAAAGAACTTGAAAACACAAAGGCATAAAGATATATGCACCCCTATGTTCATTGCAGCATTATACACAATAGCCAAGACATGTAAGCAACCTAGGTGCCCATCAAGGGACAAATGGATAAAGAAGATGTGGTATTTATACACTATGGACTACTACTCAGCCATAAGAAATGATGAAATCCGGCCCTTGGTGACAACATGGATGGACCTTGAGGGAATTATGCTGAGTGAAATAAGTCAGAGGGAGAAAGCCAAATACCATATGATCTCACTCATAAATAGAAGATAAAAACAACAACAAACAAACACATAGCATTGGAGATTGGATTGGTGGTTACCATAGGGGAAGGGGGGAGGGTGGGCAAAAGGGGTGATTAGGCTCACATGTGAGGGGATGCACTATAATTAGTTTTTGGGTGGTGAACATGATGTAATCTACACAGAATTCAAAATATATTATGATGTACATCCGAAAATAAGCAAATAAATGACGAAAAAAATATAAAAAAAAAACAAGGAAGCTGACATCAGTACAATGCTATTAACTAAACTACAGACCTTATTTATTTTATTGCCACAAAGAAACTCCCTCATGCTGCTCCTTTAGAGTTGTACTCCATTCATCATTGAAATATAGTTTTTCTTTTAATGAAAGTTACACTTCATTAAAATACCCATGATTAGAATCATTGGAGCCTAGCATAGTGCCATGGCAAGTAGTCAATTGTGTGGAATTTAGTGTTGAAGGCCTGGCTATGAATAGTCACTTGTGACTCACTTGCTGTGTGACTTCAGGCACACAATCGCTCTGAGGCTTGGTTTTATCACCTATAATATGAAATTAATAATTTCCACTTGGTAGAGATGCTGCACAGGTTAGACACGAAGTATATGAAGTGCCTAACACGTGGGTCACAGGCAATGTGTCTGTGGTCAGTGTCTTAGGTCAGGGTGCCCAGGAGGCAGATTCTGAGATGGAGATCTGCATGCAGGTAGGTTATTGGGAATGCTCAAGAGCTCCACACCTATGAGCGGGCTGGGACACGAGACTGGACAGAGGGAGAAGTTGAACTATGATGCTATTGCAACATAAAGCATCAGATGATCCTACAGGGAGCAGGGATGGCCCTTTAGAGCTGTCCAGGCTTTTGTACCCCTGCATCCACCAGTCGCTGTGTGTGGACTGCTCTTAGGGAGGGATGTGACCTTGGGCAGGCTGGCTCCCTTTAGCCAAGGGCAAGGTGTAAAGACAGACTCAGCCGTCAACCTTCAGCAGCTAACACTCACTCAGCCGTGAGCCTCTGCACTGCCGGGGAATCTGGGCAGCACATCACAGCATTGACTGTACTCAGTATTCTGATTACGGCTCTGAGGAAGGGGGACATCAAAAGGGGAGACCATCGTAGGTTTTTCATCTCCCCCACATGGTAGCCATATTAAATCCAGGCATATATGCACGGCTCAGTAACTCCAGAAAAAGCTGTTTCCTTTTGTTTTAGGCTATTGAAGGGATCTGTTTACAACTTCAGAAAGAGCTAATTTGGCAGACAGAAAAGCAAGCAACATGTCCTACTCTTCCTTATGGCTGCTAAAGGGAATTTCCTAAAATTCTCTTTGCCAGCCCCATGAAAGAACCCCATCTTGTACGCTCCCGCCCTACCTAAGAATTGCCTTGAAGTGAGTTTTGGAAGCAGGCTTTCAATGACTTTTCAAGAAATCCCTTCTCAGCCTGCCAAGGACAAGCTGGTATCAGTGATATTATACAGTAATTGTGTTTGTTCAGTCATAGCTGGAAGTCTGACACTGAGCTAAGGCCCACGGGGGATGCCAGAGAAGAGATACCAAGTCTCCAGCTGGAAGGATTCCATTTTGGGCCTTTTCTCTATGCTCAGCCACTCTGAGATGGAGTAAACAATTGACTTTTGAAAGCACCAACCTGACTAGCACAGACTGGTTCTGAGTACGCAGTGGATGTGGGTTAAGCTCCTGATGGTTCATATCTCAATTTGGTTTATAAACGTCATGATGTCATGTCCCCTTTTATAAGGGAAAGATCGCATATGTTAAGGTAAAGCACAGCTACTTCGTGCAACATCACGGGGTTTGGGGCAAATGATTAAAGTAAGTTTTCATGAGTTTTCCTGATTTGTTAAGTCTCTTTGGAACAAATTTCTTTGGCCAGTTATCCAAGAAACTATTGGCCTTTATTTGTTTATAAGTAAAGATACAGCTCACAGCACATAATAATAGTGAAATGATAACATGAAGGATTTTCATAAATTAAGAAGATTTTTCTGCCAGAAAGCTTGATAAACACTTTTTGCCTTTTTCCAGCATCCATGCTGGGTGTTTTGGAGGAGGTGTCTCCACGAGTACATAGTAGAGGCTGATCTAAAAGCGTTCACATCTGTGACAAAGCGTTCACATCTGTGACAAGGGTACAAATCCTCACACTCTTCAGAGCTGGGAGGGGTAAGCCCAATCTTGCTGGTCACTGTCCCCTACTGCTCTTCCTCTCTGTCTCTCTTTGTATCTCTCTCCAAACCAGAGGCCTACCAACAGCCTTGGCCTACTCAGAATGGGAGGAGGCAGAGGGTAGAAGCCAGGTCAGTGCCCTGGAAGGCACAAGAATGGAGCTCTGCCAGAGGAGAGGCCCTGCAGGACAGAGGGAGGTGAAGGCCAGCCACCCCTGGGAACCTAAATGGCACATGTCACCCCTTGCCTCCTCACTTGAGGGAAAGGTCTGGCGGGCAGGAGCCAGGTCTGATTTCCCTTTGTGTCCCTGCAGAGCCTTGCCCGGATACAGTTTTGGTGATTAATAAATGTTGGAAACCGAATGAACTTTTCTGTTACTCCTTATTAACAGTGCCAGGAAGTGAAGATATGAGCTAATCAGCAGTCACGAGCGCCACAAATTAGTCACGTTAGAGGCAGCGGGGTTTTGACGGTTACATCAGAGATCTGGGCTCGTTCCTGGAAACTTTACTGGGCAATTGTCCTTTTTAAATCAGAATCTGTGGTGAACTCATCTGATGGATGGGTGAGAGTGCGCTGGTCTGGGAGTCGGAGGAGGCCTGGGCTCAGATCCCTTCCAGATACATGACCTTAGAGAAGCAGCCAAACCACCTGAAGGCACAGTTTCCTCAGCAGTTAAATTGGTTGATGCAACACCACCTCTCATAGGCTAGTTTTTTGGGTCAGATGAGCTAATGCCTGCAGTGTCGGGCTCACCCCAAGTGCTTAATAAATGGTGGCTATTATTATCATTACCAGGGGAACCAGATAATGTACCGTCCAGACCAAGATACCTTGACAGGGAAGGGGGGCATAAAAACAGAATAATAACTCTTCTGAAAGATTTATTTATTAACCAACAAATGGGATTTTTACATTGGTGGACCTATAAAATGGTTCTATTCAGGGACTATTTTCAAATATAAAGTTCCTTTGAAGAAATAAAAGAACATATGTCTGTGTACATTAAAGCAAACTTGAAAATTTTCTTTCTGTTGATGATCTGAACATAAAAACTTTTATGCAGAGGCCAGCTGGGTGGCATAGTGGTTAATTTCACACACTGCGCTTGGGTGGCCCAGGGTTTGCAGGTTTGAATCCCGGGTCCAGGCCTACACACTGCTCGTCAAGCCATGCTGTGGTGGCATCCCACATACAAAATAGAGGAAGATTGGCACAGATGTTAGGGACAATCTTCCTCAGGCAAAAAAAGGAGGATTGGCAACATACATTGGCTCAGGGCCAATCTTCCTCAGCAAAACAAAAACAAAACCAAAAAAATAATTTAATGCAGAATAATTATTCTTGATACATATTTACATACTTTAATCAGTTTCCTTTTTTTTTAAAGATTTTATTTTTCCTTTTCTCCCCAAAGCCCACCAGTACATCGTTGTGTATTTTTAGTTGTGAGTCCTTCTAGTTGTGGCATGTGGGACGCCACCTCAGCATGGCTTGATGAGTGGTGTGATGTCTGCACCCAGAATTCAAACTGCAGAAATGCTGGGCCACCGAAGCAGAGCACACGAGCTTAACCACTTGGCCACAGGGCCAGCCCCTAATCAGTTTCTTAGCCTATCTGTCATGCTATTCTTCTACAGAGTGTAGTTTTCAATTGTTTTATTATTTTCACTTTTTCCACAAAATTGTCTGCATTTCAGCTTTAATAAATTTGAAATTGCTGCTCTTCAATTGACTTCTCTGTAGACCACAATATATTTAATTGAGAAAAATACCCTCTATACAGGTGTTGAATTCCCTGGTAAGCTGAGAGCAATTCTGCTAAATAAAGGCCATTCTTGATTCTAATTTTTAAAAATATTGAAATATGTAAATAATTCAGTCCAAATATTTTCTCAGGTAATTTTGGCCTCTATTCTGAGTACGTTTCTTTGACAAATATTTTTATGATACAACTTGTCAACTAAGTAGCCTCTATTTATGATTCTTTTGAATGGTTCACCAAATTTGGGTGATTCAAAATTGTAGACCTTCTCAATTACATTCTATTCAGGGGCAGAATCTAAATTTATCCAAATAAAAATAGGAGCTCCGTCAACATATTCTTCTCACACATTGAGATCATCCAGGGCACAATTATAGAATTTCAAAATGAAATCTTATATTTCATTAATGTGCTCATTGTACACCCTGCCTCCCACCCCCAATCCTGCAGGGTAAATTTCAATGTCTTCCTGTTTGCAGAGCTGGCTTCATGGGCTTGTGACTCTGCAGTCACACAGAACCCAGGGCTTAGAAGGGCTCCACACTTCAGTTACTGCCCTGCTGTTGCCATCTTGAAATTCTTAATTTTTCAATAAGAGGCTCTGCATTTTCACTTTCCTCTGGGCCCTGAAAATTATGTAGCTGGTCCTGCCTGTTTGTCAGCTTGGTTTTCAGTAATTGCAATTTTCTGAAACTTCAAGCTCCAAAGCTGAGTTTCAAAAAACCCAAAAGCTCCATTCACTCAATACTTTGAAGACTTCCAGATGATTTTGAACAAAACGCAACCAAAATTTGGAGTAGCATAGGACACTTAGGTTGAATTTAACAAAGTAGTTTATCATAAAGGCTTAGATATTCTAAGTCAATTGGTAGCCAGGAAGGAGAATTTTGTGATCCCCTTACTTTATGTGTGTGTGTGTGTATGTGTGTGTGTAAAATGTGACAACTCATCTTCCATTTCCATTGGCAGACCAGATATCTTATTTGGATGAAAGTACTAATTACATACTTTCCACCACCCAGACCAAATCTATTTCTCCTCCATCGGTTCTTAATTTAGTAAGACTATTGTTTCTACCGGGATTCTGGCCACCAAAAAGTATCACCTCAAAAACAAATTTTCTCTCCGATCACAAACTTTTAAACTAGGTTTATAATAGCAATCAGAATAATGTTAGATTTTTCACCTTTGACAGAATGAACTTTGCAAAGGTTTAATTTTATTCCATGAATCAAGTTTTTACAAAAATAAACCATTGTTAAAATTCACAGATTTCTTATTTGAAGCATCTGATAACCCTGATATAAAGCTGGTGTTGTATCACTGTTTACATAATTCTGCTTCTGCTAAAGGAGACTCATTAGCAGCTAACGCTTCGTTTTTCAGTTATTCACAAGAACGTTGGAATTGAAAATGAGTGAAATTAGTTTAGACGAACGGTCGTTACATCTAATGAAAAATTAAGCATCACAGAGCGATATGACAGTGCACCTTGTGCAGCTGCCTTTGTTGAGTCATCATCTCTGAGCACCATCTAGTTAAAATAACAACTAAGTTTTGAGGTAAATGCTGATGCTTCTTCAGCAAATTTCTGTTTTCTGGTTTTCATGTGGCCTATGGTATTATGACATCCCCATAGTAGAAGCTAGATGTAAATAAATATTTTTTTGTAAGGTGTACATTCATCTACGACTTTAATATTTTAATTTTTCCCTAAAAATGTACTTTGATCTTTTCAAGCTAATTTCTGCCAAAAGAGTTTATTGCAAAAGAAAGATATGTTGTTACCCAATAACGCATTAAAGAATAGTTGTAGATGCACTTCACTGTAAATGACAAAGCCACTGGAAGCAGGGGTATTCAAACTCCATTCTGTACACTCTATCACGGGGCTGCTCAGCCCCGTTCCTGCACATGTTTCACCTACACCTACCCCACACTTTCTCACATTTCCCACTGACGCTGCTGATGTATGGCCAGGCAGCTTCACGGACCTCCCAGGCCCCAGCAGGGACTAGTGAGAGGTGGCAGGCTGCAAGATCTCTCACCACCACTGCGTCCCTAGGAACTGGTGGCTGGGCACACTATGCTTTATTATGCTGTCCAAAGGCGATGTTAATTGTGCCTTATCAGAGAATGGTTCGGAAAAGAGAGAAGGGTATTGTTGGTCATCCTTCAGATTTTACCAGAGGAAAATGAGAACTCAGTTTACTACACACGTGTCCCATTACTACTCTTCAAGACTGGCAGAGACTGGGAATGCCAAGTGGAGGTCTACTAAATCCATCGCAATGTGTTTAATTCCGCCATTATGAATAATGTTTTGTTTTGTTAAAAAATGAAGCACTAGATATATGTTAAACTGCCTGGGACTGTCCTGGAGAAACCTGGAGTACAGTCACCTTAATTATCACCCATTGCTTTGGTTATCCTATGACTCCCTGAGGAAATATATTGCACCAAGTTACAAACCGCTTCTGTGTAATGAAGACGACCTTTCGTTTAAATGTGAAGGGAAGAGTGAAGTTGGTACAGTCTAGAAAGGGATAATGTAAAGCTAAAAGATGAATGACAACTCAATGGGCTCATTCAGATATCATGACTTACCTGAGAAGCCAACCCCCTGGGACAGTTTCTGATCACTTTTCTTACCGATCCAGAACTATTTTCAGTTGAAGTAGGCTGAATTCCTGAAGGGAAGGGGAAAACTGGGTAATTCATCTTACTCTTGCTTCGTTAACTCAGGGCCTACATAAGTTAGGGCCTACAGCCCTGAAATTCCCTTTAACTATGCTCCAAGTGAAGTGTCAGGAAATCACTGATTTTTTCTTTTTTTGGAGGGGGCAGTGTTAGAAGTCCAAAGTTGTATTGGATACCAGCTGTATACAAGTCGTGTAAACTTTATGGTCTGAGGGCTTCATCACCTGTAAAATGGCCCTCACAGCATGGGCTGCCAACACATCTGGGTCAGAACAGCTGGGAACAATTTTCAGCTGGAAAAATAACTTATGTGGAAAAGGAGCAGAAACTTTCATCGTATACTGGCTGGTTGTAAACGAAGGCCATTGTCAGGGAGAAATTCTAATGGCTTGTTTTTCTATTTGGTTATAGTCAGATATTTCTGGGGCACGTAAGGCACACATTTCCCGGGTGACAGGACATTATAATAAAATGAACTGGATGACCTTATTACCTTTTTGGAGTCCTTTACTAGTGGATTTTGGGAAATAGATGCTAAACGTCTAACAAAACCTGTATATAGCTTTGGTAGGACTTTCCCACAGTGAACTGATGTACACGATGTGCCAGTAGAAAAAAGTATATCGACATAAATAAGTATGACTTAACACAAATTAAAATTGTATTTTTTAAAATCTCAAATAATGCCATGTGGACTTGGGTGACTAGATGACTATGACTGGAGATGTCCAGACAGGAAAAACCAGCAGAGAGGGTCCTTTCCAGAAGCAGAGTAAAGCCATATTTTAAATTTGGAAACGCTTGTCTTTTTAATCATCGGATATCCTGCTCTTTTTTTTGGTTTAGGAAGCAAAAGCATGAGTGGACCTCAGTCCACAGAGTGTTTGAGAAATAGAACTATGCATGGTACTTGTAAATTCTCCCTGGGTTTGCAGCTGGTCAACTCTGAAAGTCTTTCTGTTTGCCTAAAAGGCACAATAAAAGGTTACTTTTTTACAATTTCATTCCACCTATTATTCAACTATTCTTTAAATATTTTATAATTTCTAATTTAAAAAATTTGTTATTGGGGTAAAACATAACATAAAATTTACTACTTAAATCATTTTTAAGTGTACAATTCAGTGACATTAAGTACATTCACATTTTGTGGAACCGTCACCAATATCCATCTCCCAAACTTGATTTCTAATTTTTTAAGCTTCGCTAAGTTATGACACTTAAGTGTAAAGAGGGAAGAATATGTGATTTAGCTTTAAACTGAGATCAATCAGCAGTTGCTGGTTTGCTTTCTTCCTGCCTGGGGATGTGGACTGTTACTGAGTTTCTTCTTGTTAGGTACGTCTGTATCTTTCAACATATTGTGCTTAACTTTTTAACTGCTTTTATTATGGGATAGTTGTATACCAGAGAAAGCTACAAAAATCTATAAATTCTCTAAAAGGAAATTTCAAAAGGACTCTACGGCTGGCATGGGAGCGGAGGGGCACTTTATTATGTTCACGTATGGAAGAAAGGAAAGTCACTCAAGATCCGCGATGGTTAGATGTGAATGTGTTTGTTAATTAAATAGAGGGACAGATAGGCATTTAGTTTCTAAACTTCTGCAGTTCAGGTTGTGTATGGATGTTATTTAAAATGAAGATGCTGGTAAAGTGAAATCTCGGAATATCTGTGCATTAAAGAAATAAACAAAAAGTAGACCTGAGTAAATTTTAGACTTTCAGTTTCCCCAAAGCTATTGATCTTCAGATCTACCTACATTGCTGTTTACAGAACATTTCTGTCTCCCAAAGGTCTCTTATTAATCATGTCCCACGCAGACTCCCTCACCAGCCGTAGGCCATCTCCTGGTAGCAGAGAAGCCCTGTGGAAGTCCTGTTTGGAGTATTTATGGTCTATTCCCGAACCTGTGTCTTCTGTTTTGAAATCATGGTTGCAAAAGGCTCAGAGTTGAAAGGTTTCATTGTAAATGTCCCTTAAAGAGAAAAGTGGAAATAAGAGTATTAGTTTAATTTATTTCATGGGTCAAAAAGAGATATCCATCGTTATAATTTGAGTGACAGACATATGGCAAAATGTTAGCATTTGTTAAAACACTATAGATACTATAAGGGGGTGAGTTTTATTATTCTCTGTACTTTTCTGGAGCTGCTATGACAAAAATGAATGTATACAATTTGCAGAATTGACAAAGCAGGGGACATTATCCTTTTGGGGTAAGCAAGGGAAATTTCAACATCATGTTAATCTGGCACTGACTGGGCTTTCTAAAATAAAATTGCCTCCAAACTCTCAAGTAGTCTTATCTGCACATCTTTTGAAAAAGACTTAATTGTTGCATCCAGCCCACAGGACGATCTCATAATGTTGCTCCAGGGGCCCTACAGCTTATAGTGAAAGAACATTTTCAACAAGTACTAAAGACTGTCCCCATGTTGGCTGGTTCGGAAACTGTGGTGTGTGAATTCAGAAAATAAATTGTTCTAATTCTTTCGAGCTTTGAGGCTTTGAACAAAATAATGAATAACTCTTAGTAATTAACATGCCTTGTTTGTTTTTCGTTCTTTTGAATGCAATCAAGGAAAGGAATGGGAAGGAAAGAAGTGCTCAGGAGGCCCCCAAAAGCACTTTGGCACTCACCAAAGCGGCCAGACGATGAATAACGCAGTGGGAGGATATGGCCAAGTGGGGCCTATTTTTGTGTTATTCAATAGCACTAGGAAACATACTTTAGTTCAAAGCATTATTTCTCTTCAAGTGTCTCCAGTCAGCATCACGTAGCTTTTGGTAATGCTAGAGTGATTTCAATGTACGAAGTGTCTTTGAGTAGTTGTCTAAGGGGATAAAGCTACGGAAAAGAGGGCAGACAGAGGGCATTTGACCACAAAGACTGAGAATTTCATTGGTTTGCAGAAGAATTCCTTGGCTACTACCTCTGGGAAATGGAATGGTTTATAGCAAAGATTCCCAGGCATCCATGTTCTTAAAAATAAAGAGGCCTTTGGACTGCTGTATTGGTGAAGATGCTTTTAGCTGCAAGTAACCACAGACCCAACTCAGGATGGCTTAAGCCCTGAGGGGATTTGTGGTCTTGCACAACAAGTCCTAAAGTAGGCATGCTCCGCCCAAGCCACACCAAGGCGCTGGCTTCACCTCTTTGTGGCTTTCTGGATTTGTCCTTTTCTCTGTATTGGCTTCATCCTACAGCAGCCCTGAACATCACCTCTATTCTCAACAGTGTCTTGTGGTCTGCTTAGCCCCAGCTTTGGCTAGACAAGTACATATTCATTAAAGAGTCCCAGGAACTGGCTCTTCTCAGTGAGGAGGTGCTGAAACCAGCTGCCACTGAGGACGGCTGAGGTTGGAAAGACTGAGAGGTACTCTCATAGCAAGAAAGGAATGTGGAATTTTGAGTGGATCAACCCCAGGTCTTGAGGATGACACACCCACCTTCTGCCACTGTTTTCTGACTTCTAGGATAAAACAACCAGCAAATCAAGTGAAACCAACTGAAAATGATGCTGTGCTCCATGGGTCCCTGCTGGCATAATGCCTTAGGACAGAATCTCTTCTCAAAAGTGGCCTTAAATGAAAGAGGCTGCTCTAGATAGAGACATACATTTTCCATCTTAACACAAAACATTGCCTTATATTTGTGTAATATAAGCATCGTGAGAGCCTGAATTTTGTCTTATTCACTCCTGGATCCACAGTGCCTAGTCCAATGAATAGCACATAGTAGGTTCTCAACAAATATTTGTCAAAAGAACGAGTAATGGTAGAGACTGTTTCATTTACTAGTTAAGAGAGACCTGGAAAAAGAAGAGCGAGAGAAAGACCTGGGTTCCAAGGCCAACTCTGTCATTTACTAGCTATGGGATCCTTTCTGTGCTTCAGTTTCCTCCTCTGTAAAATGGGGATAATAGAAAATTGCTTCATCAGGTTGTTGTGAAAATTAAATGAATTAGTGTGTGTGACGTGCTTAGAACAGTACCAGGCCCATAGTAAGCCCTTGGGAAGTACTAACATTTTATCATCATTACTACTACCAAGTTCTTCATATCTCAGTTTCCTCCTTTGTAAAAGGGGTTTAATAAAAGTTACCCCATTTTCAGGATTAAATGAGACAGTGTTTTTTCCTTCCTCATGACATCAGGTACGGTGTTAGGAGCTTGGTCAAAGGTCTCTATAATTCCATATCTATTCTCACTGTTTTTTATTTTACAAAGTTATTTTTACCCCCATGATGTATTTGGTCTCCACAACACACTGGTGATAGAACGAGTCAAATATTATGCCCCTTTTATAGGTTCAGAAATTGAGGCACTGAGCAATTAAGTGTGCCTCTGAGACTCACTTAACAGGCAAATGGAAGAGCCAGAAGTCAGCCCAATGGTCGTCTGATGCTTTACAGTGTAGATCTTCCACATTTTAAACATTTAAGCAAAGACTTTACAAGGCTAGAGAGTGACTTTATTGAGCAAATGTATAATATTGGCTCAGGAATGGAAGTCTTATAAAGGCTAAGCTAAAACATTTCTAAATGGGATGATTTAGGGAGAAAGAGGGAAGTGACCAGGACAGGAAATAATGTTTTAAAAGAAGTGCTCTTAAAGGGAGAAGGTTAGAAAGATCCATGTGATACTGGATTAGAGTTGGAGACGTCAGTATGAACTCATGTTTAGCTTACTATAGGTACAGATGGTTCCATATAGGAAATGTGCAGCTATGTGTAGGTACACGGGTTGGTATACCACATATGTTTATTCCCTTGCTCTGTCAGCTGAAGGGGCTTAGAAGCAACAACATCCCAGTAGCAACAAGCAGAACCAGCACCCAGATGTTGGTTTCTAAAACCTTTCTCCAGTGAAAGGAACAAGGGCTCATTGGAGAAGGGGCTGATTCTAGGGCTGGGTAGGTAACACAGAAGAGGGACGTGGGCGGCCGGCCTGGTGGCACAGCGGTTAAGTGCACACATTCTGCTTTGCGGCCTGGGGTTTGCCGGTTCGGATCCCGGGTGCCGACATGGCACCACTTGGCAAGCCATGCTGTGGTAGGCGTCCCACATATAAAGTAGAGGAAGATGGGCACGGATGTTAGCTCAGGGCCAGTCTTCCTCGGCAAAAAGAGGAGGATTGGCAGCAGTTAGCTCAGGGCTAATCTTCCTCAAAAAAAAAAAAAAAAGAAGAAGAAGAAGAAGAGGGGCCTGTAGTGCCAGAAAGTAAGGAAGTGCTAAAAAATTTAAAAAGAGGAGAGTGTGTCAAAGGGACAGAGGGGCCGAGTGAAAGGCTCCTAGTGACCAGAGCTGGAACAACTTGAGCAATAAAATAAATAACATAGTACTAGATTATGACCTAAAGTGTAAATAAATGTCTATGAGTCCATACTAATATAAATAAATGATTGAATAAATAAATAAATGAGGGGAGAGACAAATCTCCCCTGCAGAAGAATTCCCAATAAATCATGTAGATCCTCCCTCCTCACGGAGATAGAACCTGACTCCTTACCCTGTAAGTGTTGGGTGTGTATAGCGACTTCCTTCCAAAGAGTCCAGGATGGAAAGCGGGAAGAAAAGAGTAACTTGACAGTGCAGAAGCCTGACAAACACTACCTCAGCCAGGTGATCAAGGTTAACATCAACAGTGATGTCATCTCCATAGCATGTGCCCTCGATATGATGCCATGAGAATGGCACTTTACGGTTTATTGTTAGTGGCACAGCAGAGTGGAACCCTGCCCGGTCTTTTTGTGCCGCCCTTTCACCTTCCGGTGCTGTATCAGACAATGCTCCACTGCTCTTCATAGGGTTTTATCGGAAGTGGGTGGCCAGGTCCTTCTTCCTAGTCTGTCCTAGTCTGGAAGCTCTGCTGCATCCTGCCCACCCTGGGTGACCCTCTTGATATTTGAAATGCAGGTGGCATAGCTTTTAGCATCACAGCAACATGCAGCTGCCACAGTATGACAACTGACACATGGGTGGTGTGATTAGCTCACCAGGAAACGAAACCCGGGCCACAGCAGTGAGAGTGTCAAATCTTAACCATTAGATACCAGGGCTGGCTGTCTCTGTGGTATTTCTTCCAAAAACCCATCATCCTGGTTGAGCAATGAAAAAACATCAGATAAACCCAAATTGAAGGACATTCTATAAAATACCTGACCAATATTCCTCAAAACTGTCAAGGCCGTCAAAAACAAGGAAAGTCTGAGAAGCTGTCACAGCCAAGAGGAGCCTAAGAAGACATGACAACTAAATGTAACATGGTATCCTGGATTGGATCCTGGAGCAGAAAAGGGACAATAGGTAAAACTAAGGAAATCTGAGTAAACTACAAACAATAACTAATAATAATGTTTCAATATTAGTTCATAGTACCGACAAACGTATCATACAAATATAAGATGTTAACAATAAGGGAAACTGAGAGTCAGGTATCTAAGAATTCTCTGTTCTATTTTGCAACTGTTCTAGAAATCTAAAACTAGTATAAAATTTAAAGTTTAAAAAAAGTAAAATAATCAGGCTAGTAGGATAGCAAAAATACCGCTCGTCCCCCTAAAAGGAGCAAAGAAGAATAAGAAAACAAAGAAAAGATGGGACAAATAGAAAACAAACAGCAAAGAATGGATTTACACTCAACCACATAGATAATTAGGTTAATTGTAATTGGTCTAACTACTCCAATTAAAATTCAAATATTGTCAGATCAGGTTAAAAAAAAGCAAGATCCAGTATATGCTGTGTATATAAGAAACCACTTTAAATAAAGCTATAGATAGATTAAAATAAAACGATGGCAACATATGCCAATCAAACACTAAACAAAAGAAAGCAGGAGTAGATGTATTGATATTAGACAAAGTCAGGTTCATAACAAGGAATATTGCCAAGGGTAAAGACGAATGTTTCATAATAATACAGAGGTCAATTCATCAAGAGGATATAACAATCTTTAACGTGCTTATACCAATAACGGAGCTTTGAAGTGGACAAAGTAGAAACTGATGGAACTGAAAGGAGAAGAGAGAACTAGCTTTGGTTGGAGATTTCAAAACACTTCTCTCAGCAATTGATAGAACAAGTAGAAGAAAGGAAATCGGTAAGAATACAAAAGATAAGTGAAGATAGAGAAGACTTTAAAAACATTCCTCCCCCAACAGCAGAACAAAGTGCATGTCTTATAAATAGCATCTAGATGGCTGTCACTTTTCTCTCCAGTCTAAAACTCTCTGCCTTTTAATCCAAATGTTTAGTCTCTACATTTGATATAATTTATGGTAGGTTGGGTTTGTGAATGTCTTGCTTTGTTTTCTATTTGTCCCATGTGTTCTTTGTTTCTTTGTTCTTTCTCTCTTGCCTTCTCTTAGATTGATTATTATTTTCATATTCCTTTTATCTCCTCCGTTGGTTCTTAGCTATGCCTCTTTGTTTTATTTTTTTTTAATGGTGGCCCTCCCTAGTGATTTCAATATGCAACTTTAATATATCATCATCCACACTGAATAAATATTATAACACTTCATGAACAAAGTAATAACGTTAAAACACCATAATTCCATTCTGTAGTGCTATTTTGTCATCTGTTTTACTTCTCCATATTTTATAAATCCCACAATACTTGCTATTATTTTTATCTAAACATTCAAACATCTTTTAAAAATTAAAAAAATGAAAAATAGTCTTGCATATTTCCCCACATATTTACTTTTTCCAGTGCTTTGCATTTCTCACTGTAGATTCAGGCCTCCATCTGGGACAGCTTCCCTTTAGCTTACCAAAGTCTCTGGAGATGGTAGTGATACAAACAAAATGGCCCGTTTCTTGACTTTGGATCTGTTGGTAACGCATCCTCTCAGATTTTGTTTGTTTGAAAATTTCTTTCTTTCTCTCTCGTTTGGAAGTATGTTTTCACTGGATGTAGAATTATAGATTGACATTTGTTGTTTTTTCCTTTAGTACTTTAGTGATGTTATTCCATTATCTTCTGGATTCTGTTATTTCTGATTAGAAGTCAGCCATAATCTGTCTCTCCTCCCTCCCTCCTCCGAATATAAAGTGTCTCTTTTTCCCTTCTGGATTCTCTCATGAGTTTTCCTTTTATCTCTGATTTTCAGTGACTGCGATGTGCCCAGGGGAGATCTTCTTTGTATTCATCCTGCTTGGGCTTTGCTAAGTCTTTTGCATCTGTGGTTTAATATCTTTTATTAGTTTGAAAGATTCTTAACAATTATATCTTTAAATATTTCTTTCACCCAGTTTTCTCTCTCCTTGCCTCCTGAGACTTCAATTCCATATATGTTAAACTATTTGCTATTGTCCTCTGAGTTTCTAATATTTTTGTTTTTAATCTTTTCTTCCTCTGTCCTTCTGTTTAGATTATTTATACCGACCTGTCTTCAATGCTTTGTTTTCTGTGTCCAGTATTCTCAGGAATTTAGTTCATTTACCCTTCTTTGTGTCCATTGCTCTCCACTGCTCACTGGCTTTAAAGAATTAAAGATATAAATAAAGGGATAGATATAGACTTTTTTTCCTTTGGCAAGAGCCACAGTCTTTCACAATCGTCTAGAGTTTAATTGGAAGTAAGACCGGCAGTGGTTCTTAAACCACTTAAATCACCCAAAGAACTTGTTAAAAATCCATATTCCTGTGAAATACCACCAAACACCAGGCAATATCCAGGGCACCAAAAAATTTCTGAGATGATTCTAATACAGGAGTCCCCAGGCACCCTTTGAAAAGCACCAATTGGTTGTTAAAAGCCTGAAGTCAAAATAAGTAGTTGGCAGTAGGAAAATGCAAATAAGCTTCAATCGAGACCTCAAGAAGATCATCAACAAAGCTGTCGGATTGCTTGCTAAACTCAAATTTAAAAACAAAACAATTCAATTTAAGCAAACTGGTGCACATGGAAACAAACACAGCCTAAAATTGCCAGAAACCAGGTAGTTACTCCATTTCTTATGGTACTGATTTCATGTTGAGCTGTGGCTCCTTAGTGAGCCAACTGGAGACATACTTACACGGCTTGGGGAGACAGGTATATCTTCAGAGATGTGTCCGTTTGTGTAGGCAGGCTTGTAAAACTCTTTAGAGGATCTCTGAAGGAAGGTGAATAAGAAAAGGAATATAAATGACTGAGAACACCTAGATTTACTATGTCCCAATGAATCCTAAGGTTTCATTGCCTGGAATAAATACCAAGAGCTAGAGACATTAACTGGCATATTATGTGGCTATCAGGTAAGGACTCTAATTTTTAAACAAACATACCAGTAATTATAGATTCAAGTGAATGCTGTCCTCTTCAACAGGGTTTAATGCAAAAGGACAGATAAGTTGAGTGTCAACACCACTTCACTGATTTGGTCCCCTGAAGAGCTGTGTTGGGGATTCTGAGGCTGAGCCTAGTTCAGCAGGAAAGAGCACCTTCGTCTGCTAATAAGGTCTGCCATGCACGTGGTTGGGGACAGTGGAAACAAAAGTGCTGTATAACTGCCTTCCTGGTTTAACAGTAAACCTGTGGATTTGGGATTTGAAGACTTGAACTTGAATCTTGGCTCTGCCACTTACTAGCTGTGAGATCTTGTGAAAACCCATTATGTGAGCCTCAATTTCTTTAATTTAATGACTATTAGTCTTAAAAAATATTTTTACTTTCTATCTAATAGATATGTATATGATAGCCACTTTATAACCTATAAAGCACTAATCATAATTTATTCTTCAAAGAAGTCATTTGCCAGGCTATTATTCACAATAATTTGGTCATTGTACATAATACTTTGAGAGTGCATTTATAAACAGTTTGAGCAACTTGGGAAAAGCACTTTTATCTGTACCTTTTTTTTATAATTTGGCCAGATAATTGATCATGACTTTTGGATCTGAAAGACATGGTTCTTCCCCAAAATAAAATTCACTTTCAATGAATGAAGATTTGCCACCACTGTGTTGTTAAATAGAGTATGCCACTGGCTTTTGGAGATTCTTCTCAAAGAGAAACACCAAAAATGATTCATGCTATGGCAGCCTCATTAGTATTAGCATATGGTCACTAAGGGTACTACACTGAAGGCCAAAATGTACTTGAATGTGTAACTTTCTGTTAGAAATAATAGACCAGTCGTTTTTGCATTAGAATATCATAGCATCTATAGCAATATCATCATGCTTTGAATCAGAATGATGCTCATAGGCTGATCCTGCAGTAATCCCTAGGAAGGCACAGTGATGTAAACAAGGAACCCAGATGAACTCTCAGCCTCTGATAGAGAAGGAATCACAGCTTGGTGGTGCTTACTGATAATACGTTAATCTCCAGGTAACCAACTGTTGATAACTCCAGACTTATGAAATGTGGATTTAATACAGCTGTGAAAATCCTGTCTGTCCATAAGCAACTACTATGTTAGGGAGAGGCAAGAAATATTGGAAGGAAAGCAACTAAAGAGTCCTTGGGAGGAATGTCTTTCAGCATTGGAGTCTGGGCTACCTAAAGGGGATGCTGACACAGTTCTAATCCTAAACTATTGTGGAGGGTGCTGTACCTCTCCCAATCTGGGTCATGAGGGGCCCCTGCCCTGGGCCCTGAGCTTTCGAGGGTCATACTTTGGCCTTCCTTTCATTATGAGAAGACGAGTCCTCAAGGCCAAAGGGATGTGTCTAGTCTTAAGTGGCAGGAAGGATTGTAAGATGGCACCCAGTTTCCCAGCCCCTGTACCTTCCTCCCTCTCCAAGAGTGATGGAACCTGTTAATATGATGGCTGTCACTCCTGTAATCAGGTTATGTTATATGGCAAAAGTGAAGGAATTTGGGAGATGTAGTTATAGTTCCTAACCCATTGACTATAAGTTAATCAAAAGAGAGCTTGTCCTGGGTGGGCCTGACTTACTTAGGTGAAATCCCTTCAGAGAGGAACAGAGCCCTCCTGAAAAGAGAGCGTCTCCTGCTCGCCTTGAAGAAGTGGGTTGCCATTAGTTCTACAGCCACAAGGAATTCAAGTCTGCCAACAACTAGTAAATTTGGAAGAGGACTCTGAGCCTCAGAGGGGACCCCAGCCCTGGCTGACACATTGGTTGCAGCCTGGGGAGACTCTGAGAAGAAGACCCAGTTAAGCCATTCCTGGACTGTTGACCCCTGGAAACTACCAGATAATAAATATCTGTTGTTGTAAGTCACTAAATCTATGGTGATTTGAGACGCAGCATAGAACACGAATTCACCCACATTCGTCTTCTAGTGGTGTACAAAGCGTGGTCTGTTTACTAGCGGTCCACAACGAGCTAAGTATAGAAAGTTAGAGTAAATGTCCAGTACTTTCTATGGCAGTCCACTTCGCTGTTCTCCACGGAAGCCCTGGGCTAGTCCCAAGCACTGTGGATGCTGTTGAAGCTGAGTGAGCGCCATGCAGTGGAGAAGACGGGGCTCACTTGCTCTGCCATCTTTTCTGGGGCTCGGAGACAAGCTCAGGCTATTTTGAAAAAAGCTGCTGCACTTTTCCCAAATGGCCTTTCTTTGTTCCCTTTAGCTCCCAGCCTTTAAACACAGTCTTTATTTTTCTGTTTATGTCGGTATATGTTTGAGCCCAGCGTGGAAAAGTGTGGTTGAAAGTCGCTTGGGTGGTGTCTCATGTGTCTGTGATGGGCTTGCTGCTGCTCGCTTTCATTTCTGTTGACAGATGGGTTTTGGGGCTTTTTTTTCTAAATCAGACCTTTTGGCCATAATGTTTCCTAAACAGCTGCAAAACCATCTCATTCAACTATTCTGATTTTGGATTTGACTTACATCAGAAGAAAAACTGTAGAGAATAGAGTTTACTACCCCAAATCGTGTCCCTCCCTAGCTTCCCAAGAGTTGAATGTTTGCCAGTTGTGAACAGGTGACCTGCGTGGTGAGAAGTGAGCTGCCCTCCAGGAATACTTTCTCTGTTTCATTTGCTGTTTACCACATTCTGCCTGAGAATTATGCTGGGTGTGCTTGTATCTCTCCTGGGACAGAGGGCGAGCGCTGAGGCCAGGGAACACATTTTCCTCGTTTTCACATTCCTTCCTCTAGGCCACCCCCCCTGGGCTCTCCACCAACACTTCAGCAACTGCCGCAATCTGGCACTCAGTACACAGTCCATTGAATGATAGACGCCTTCACATGTTAGCTACTTCACACATTGGTGACAAAAGCGTCTTCAAGGTGCACAGCACCTAACCGTTTTGATGTGTTGTTGAATCTAACATCTCATTTTATCTCTACAACATCCTGTGAGCTCAATATAGCTAGTAGTAATAATTCCATTGAACATGTCAGAAAATTGAAGTCTAAGAAAGTTGTGATTTAAAAAAGGTCACATTGCAAATTATTGGCAGAGTTCTTGTTAGGATCCATTTCTTACTCTGCTGTTCCTGACACTGACACCGTGGTGCTTTAGTTTATCTAATTGAGGCACAGTAAAGTTATAAATCTTCTCATTTTTGCAAGTGGGGAGGAGACTGGGACCCGGGCATCTGAGCTTTGACCTGGCTGTAAATTGTGCCAGTAGGGCTGTATCTGTGGTCTCCTGGATGGAGAGTCAGTAAACCTTACTCTATATGTAACCCAAAAGGACACCTGGTAGTTCTGAACCACAGCAGATAAACCACAAGATCAACTTTGTCTCTTTCTGAAATGGAATCTCTTACTTAGATCAGCTTATTTTGTTGGGAGTCGGGGTGAGAGGCTCCGGGTATAGAGATTTCCAGAAAGAAAATCTTACTGTTAGGTGCTTATGAAGACTCGCAGAGCCCAGAGGATGGTGCCAGACCCTCGTTTTCTTTCCCGTCAGGGCTCTGCCAGTCCTTATGGAGTCCATTCTGGAGGATAATGGGGATTTCCCTTCTTACTCCACAGTCCCCTCTGCCCTGGGACCACCTTCCCAGGGCCCAGCCTGGTGCTTTCAGTCTGAAGGGGCAACAGTAAAATCTTTAGGTTCTCCCCAGAGAAACTAACCCCTCAACACAAATCACATTTATCTTGCAAATATTAACTATTTTTACAGCATCCATGAGTTATTATGCTAACAGAGTGTCAGTCTCTGCTTCATCTTACAAAAAATATTTTTTCAGCAAAGGACAGAGATAGGGGTGGAGGGGAGAGGAGGGTGAGAAAATAAGAAAAATCCCACTCTGTCACACTTACAGCGTTTAAACGATCGTATGTCTTACTCTCCCCAGCTCATTCCTTCAACAAATGTTTACTGAGGATTTGCCTTGTGGCAGGAACTATGACATGGGATATAAATATGAATAGGATATGGTCCTTTGCTGAGGAAGTTCATGGTTTAGAAAAAGAAATAGACACAAACAGGTTTATTATAAAGGGAAGTGGAATTATAATGATAGAGAAATTCCCAGAGTAGTGTAGGGGAGGAAGACAAATCCCCTACTTCTGGGTCCTTCTGGCTGGGCTACCAATTAAATTGACATGAGACAGAATAACAGGAGAAAATCAAACAAAGCTTTATAAGATGTATACATGGGAGAGACTCAGGAAAACTGAGTAACTCGCCAAAATGGCTGAGGTCACCACCTTAAATACTGTTTTTAGGTAAACATAAAGGAGGGTGTTGGGGGTAGTGGTTTGGAACTTCAAGGGGGAAGAAGGCAATTTACATGGAGATGGAAATGCCAATGGACCAACTATAGACAAGGTGACCCCAGAGACACATTTTACATTAATTACAGTTATCTTATGGTGTTAGCTCCTTCCTGGAACAGGCCCTTCTATTTTAAATTCTTTTAGGCAGTTGAGGGAGAGGTCAAAGTTTCTTTCAGAGTCTTTTGTTCTTAAAAATAATCAAGCCAAAGACACGCATTTGGGGGTGGCCAGTTCGGATCCCCCCCAGCAGCATGAATGAGGAGCACCTGCAGTCCTGCGTGAGGCGAGGCCTCCTGGAGAAAGGGATGCTTGAACTGCATCTCGGAAGCGGAATGGGAGTAGGTTTAGCCCAGAAGGCTTGAAGGAGCGGAGGATGGGGGTTCCAGGTAGCAGGGATGGTGGGAGTGAAGGTGTGGAGGTGGGAGATGGCATGCTGCCTGTGAGACATCACCAAGCAGAGAACAGTGTGAGCAGACGAAGCTGGGGAGGAGGATGGCTGGAGCCCCGAGGCCCTGGTAAGCCACGTTAAGCAACTTGGGGCTGGGGTGACGAAGGGTTTCAAGCAGACGAGAGATGAGACAGATTTGCTGTTGTGTGGAAGGTAAAAGGGAAGGTGGATCAGATAAGGGCAAAACCGGAAGCGGGGAGATCAGCCACAAGTGGAACAGAATTTAGGGAGAGCCATCAAGGGTCTGAGCGGAGGCAGTGCAATGGGAAGAGAAGGATGAATTAGAGGATTGCAGAGGGACAGCAGGAAGGTGGTGAGGGTTACGTGAGGGGAGGAGGGGGGAGCAGGGGCAGTCTGGGGACACGAGGGTCTTTGGGTAAGGGACTGGCTGCCCCGTGCCCAGAGAACCTCACAGGAGACAAGAGGATGGATACATGGTGTTGGTGGCTGTTGCAAATGTCTTCTCTGCACAGCCTCTGGGTCAAGGCCATTGAGGAGAGAGGTCAAGTAGCCCCCAGGCCCCAGGATCTGTGCCACTCAGGCCGAAGGCGGGAGCCCAGAGTGAACTACGGGGCTATTAGTGGAAGAGCTGCGAGGGCCAGGCTGAACTGGTCACCTGTTCATAGCTTTATCTTATGAATCTTCTCAATGTCCCTGTGAGGAGGGTGTAGTTATTGCCTCCTTTTACAGGTGAGGAAATCGAGGCTCAGCAGAGAATCCGTGGCCAAGTCACAGACCGCAACGCTGGCGAGGGGAGGGCATTGCCTCCACTTCAGCAAGACTGTGGCGTGGGAGAAAGTCTGGCTTTGGCGTAGCAAAAGCCTGGGGGTCGTTGGAGCGGGCCAGAGAGCAGTGCCCCCTGGGGAGACTGAGGAGAGCTTCCAGAAACAAGAAGAGGATTCCCAAGAGGTAGGCAGGAGGAACTGATGTGATCCCTCTACGCATTCACAAAATGAGGTGTGAGGGCTTTGAGCTTCCAGGCAATTTCCTCAGAGTGGGGTGGGGTGGCAGTAGGGGAGGAAGGTGGAGAAAGACCGCACTTTTGCTGCATTTTTATAAAACATCTTCCTTTGCTTTATCTGCATTCACATGCAGGCTCATAGCACCTAATAATGGTTAATAAGCCTCTGAATGTGTCACTTCATCTCCGCAACAGCCCCGTGAGGGAGTCTTTCTTTCCCTCTCTCTCTCTTTAAACAGATGAGGGAACTGTGGCTGCAGACGTCAAGTAACTTGTTCCAGATTTCACCTGGAGTTTGAACCCTGGTACTCTGACTTCAGAGGCCAGGTTCTTAGCTGCCACAGTGACACAGAGACCAGAAGCAGCCTTGACATGAGAGTAAATCCACAGTTATCTGGTACAAAAGGAGGTGGGGGAGCATACGGGCTGATATTTACTGATCACCTATTAGGAGTTTTATCTCAATCCTCACAACATCTCTGTGAGCACAGCACAGTCATTGCCTCATTTTTACAGGTGAGGATATTGAGGTTCAGAGATGTTAAGTAGCTTGCCCCAGGTTACACAGCTAGTAAGGTGTGGGGCCAGAATTTGAATTCAGATATGTCAGATTCCAATTCCATGTACTTCCAGCTATAACAGGTAAATTATGAAAATAAGTGAATGCCACAAGCGATGTTTTGATATTCTAAATCAGTAGTTCTCACCTGGGGCGATTTTACCCTCCAGGGGACATTTAGCAATGCCTGGAGACGTTTTTGGTTGTTCCAACTGGGAGAGAAGTGCTACTGGCATCTAGTGGGTAGAAGCCAGGGATTCTGCTAAACACCCTATAATGCACAGGACAGCCCCACCACAAAGAATTATCAAGATGTGCCAAGGTTGAGAAATCCTATTCTAAGTTTAAATAAATTCGGAAACATTTTGAAGAAATAGCACATTTTCACTCTACCATGAGTTCCTAGATTAAAGGTCAGAGGATCCTGATTCCAGCTTCTTTCCAACTTTACTTTGCTCCTTCTAGAACCTTTTGGGCAAGGGCACCATATGCTCCTGTTTCTGGTCTCCATGGGAATGATGATGTGAGAGCCAATGGTGGCCCACTCTATTCCTGAGACCTGACCAGGCTCCAGGTCAACAGTGTGAACACTGACCCGGACAATAGCAAGGACAGGGCTCCCTGGAGGCCGAACATCCATATCTTATTTGACAGCTGTTGGGTATTCCTCAGGATGCAGTACAGCCTTTTCAAGTATGGAGAACTTTTTGAACGTCAAAATACGGAGGGCTGCAGCATATTGTCATTCAGGTCACACCTTGGGGATGAGTCAGGGCTGAAATCCCCGGCATGCCTTGCTCTAATATGCACAAAGGCCCCAAATGAGCTGGCAAAGACCCAACGCTCCACAGACCCAGGTGTGAGTAGCTGACTTTTAGATTCTTCTGACTGAGAAAATATATAATGACCACTTAACTACTTTGAACTCAGTAACACATTAAAGTGAACTTACGTTTTATTTTTATTAATCTTGGCAACATCTACACTTCTGAAAAATTGTAGTGCCAGTACAAACCAGAGATTATTTATTCAATTGACAGACAGACAGTGCTTGGCCCACATGGATTTGTGGACCCTTTGCGATAACTCCAAGTTTTCCCAAGAGTCTGGGGCTGCAGGTCAGACCCTTGTACACAAAAGTCGTTCTATTTCCTAGTTTAAGAATTTATTTTAGGGGCAGAAGGCCAGTTGGCAATATACGAAAATTTTAAACATTATGGTTACACAATAAAAAATTCAAACTTTAAACATTTTCAGTTTCCTCTGTTGTTTGAAAGAAATTAAGGCCTTGGATAAAAACCAAAGACCTCACGGCATCTGTAACCCCTCTGTCAGCTTCTTCCCCTCCTGCCCGGGTCTGCCATAGCTTTGTTGTTTCTGCAATGGAAGATCTTCAGTTGTCCTATAGACTACCAACATCCAATAGAAATATAATGCAAGCCACATATGTAATGTAAAACTTGCTAGTAGCCACATTAAGAAAATAAAAAGAAAGAGGCAAAATTAATTTTAACAATACATTTTAACTCAGTATGTCAAAAATATTATCATTTTAACAGGTAATCAATATTTTTAATTATTAATAAATACTAGAAATAATACCTGTGCTGACATGTGCTCTGCAACACTAATGTCTCACATGATGTCACAGCTGAAATCAAGTGTAGTCCTATCAAAACAGTAAAGCTGTATTTAACAGAAAAATATTTTACACTGCTTCCATTTTAAAATTTAAATTTAAATTAATTGAGATTAAATAAAGTATAACACTCAGTGCCTCAGTCATGCTGGCCACATTTCTGGTGTTCAACAGCCACATGTGGAGTGACTACTGTATTGGACGTGCAGCTCTAGACCTTCTGTGTGTTTTAACAGACTGTATCTAAACCTCATAGGCCCCATCAATGGTTTGGAGAGAAGTTCTAGAATCTTCTCTGTGTGACATTAGAGCAAATCTGTGGTGGTTGTTAGTGTGCTCTTCATTTATGGTTAACTTAAAATCATCCCGTGGTGGTAGTCCATTTCATGCTGTGTTCCCCTGTAGAGATGAAGAAGAATCTGCAATTTTGGACCCTGTGATGATCACCACCCACAGTTGAAGGTCATTCCCAAGCGGCTGGTTTTCAGGGGGTCATGTTCCTTTGACTGTGTCACAAGGAGTGTGATTTTCAAAAGGATGAAGAAAGGCAAACTCCTGAGGAAAAATTTCACGGGTGAAGATCAGGATGAAGCCGAAAGAAAAGAAGATGAAAGGATGGAGGGGCTCCCATTTCCCTCCTCCCCCACACTTGAAGGAAGCACTGTGGTATGGGCAAAGCTGGGAGGAAGAGGAGGACCTTTAAAAGAAAAATCAGGCAGAAAACTTTACACGGACACAGAACAGCAAACGCAAGGTCTACACAGTTGCTGTGAAATAGTACATGGTCAGTGCCTCTACTGACCTCTCTTGGCTGTTCCAGAATATTTTAATAATTAGACACACCCAAAACATGTTTAGCATCACACCACCTGCTGCTTCTCATGGACAGCATTATTGTCATCAAACCTGATCCCAATGTTTGCCACATTATTGGATATCCTGTGAAACAGAATCTAAAAATAGACTTTTTTCCTCTAAATCAGTCCTAACCTTACAACTGGGGTTGCAACCATAACATTGTTGCCTGTTTTTTTCACTTTCAAGGATTAGGTAATAATATTAAATTTCCCTTCTCATGATAAGTCTCTGTTTGCGCTTGGCTTGATATTTGAAGAAAATATTTATAAATTAAAGCTGTGCTACGTTTTATCCCGTGCAGTTATCCCATGCAGTTATGGGTTTATAGATTGCGGTATCTCATAATATTTTCTGTCTTAAACTGGCCACATCCAGTCTCTCCAAAGTGAAGTTCCTCAGCTGAGGTTATTTTCACCTCTGAGAACTTCTGGAGGGCTGTTTCTGTGATAAAGGATGAAAGGGATGAAGGACTCACACCTGCCCGGAGCCAGAGCCTCTTTAAATACAAGCCTTGCCTCCAGAACTGGATTTCTTCCTTGAATGGAGGAGAAGTTCTGCCATCAAGGATGGAAGGAGTCAGGGAGCAGTTGGAGCAGTAGGTTTGCCCGGGCTTGTGTTTGCTCTTATGGGGCTACTGTTAGGAGGGCCTTCTGGCACATTCTGAGAAAGCCAGTTAAAGCAGAAAAGGCCCTGAGAACCAGCTCAATTGCCCCCAATATAACTGTTACATGCAAAACTTCCCGAGAGTGGCCCAATGCATCCTGTGCCCCTATAGCAGCTCATTCATGCTGCCTTAGGATTTTCTGTAATGTTCTTGAAAAACATTGTTATATTTAGTTTAGTGAAAGATATTTATCAGAAACAAAAAGAGCTGGAGCATTGACTGCAAGATTAGTTTGCAGAGGGAAACACACATTTCTTTTTTTTCATATTCTGCAAAGTACCTAAGTCAAACATAGAGTTGCCTCCAGGGTTTATGACCACACAATATTTTATCTGTGAAGACGAGATAGTGTAAGAATTTTATTTCTGTCTGATTTCAAAGAAAGAAAAAATAAACACCTAATTTCTTTTCAGAAATGTACATTGCCTCTGACTCTTAAAATAGAAAGCGCCTGACCTTTTTGCTTTCACTTTGTAACTGCTGTGTGCTCTATGTTTTAATGCTCTAGAAAGAGTTAAACTTCTTGTAGACATTAACCCCAAATGGAAATAATTGGCCAAAGGCCTAAATTTGTACTTTATGAGAAATACAAGACTCTACAGGATTCCAACCTTTTTAGAATCATCGTAGACTTTGCCCAGGAAGCATGACATTGGCAGAAAGGGAATATAGGTGCCTTTTAACATGTTTCTGTGGACAAGGATTCTGGGTTTTACAGATAGAGAAATCTTGTTCAAGTCCATTGGGAGAGAGGAGTGAAACGGAGAGAGAGAAAGAGAAAGATCCTTTTGTGTTTTAAGACAAAGCAGTATAGTCAAGTCAGAGAAGTAAGAGGATAAAGGTAAAAGTATTATGACGTTATTGTTTGCTCTCTTTAGTTCTCTTTAGGTGCGATCTCAGAGAGAGAACACAGTTTCGCAATGTGGATGGAAGCTGTGTTAAAAGTTTTTAACCCAGAATAGGCAAAACAATCTTTAAAAAGAACAAAAAAGTTGGAGACTCATACTTCTCAATTTCAAACCTATTACAAAGCTACAGTAATCAACATGGTGTAGTATTGGCATCGGAGAGGCATATGGACCAATGGAGTAGCATTGCTAGTCCAGAAGTAAACCCTCACATCTAAGGTCAATTGATTTTCAACCACTGTCAGGACCATTTGATGGGGAAAGGATAGTTTTCTCAACAAACGGTGCTAGATAACTGCTTATCCACATGCAAACAAATGAATCTGGAACCCTACCTCACACCATACATGAAAATTAGTTTGAAGTGGATCAAAGAACTAAACATAAGGGTTAAAATTATAAAACTCAGAAGAAAACCTAAGTGTAAATCTTCGTGACTCTGGGTTTGGCAATAGTTTCTTAGATATTACACCAAAAGCATAAATAAACAGAGGAAAAAAGGATAAATTGGACTTCATCAAAATTAAAAACTTCTGTATGTGAAAAGACACTATCAAGAAAGTGAAAAGGCAGGGCCAGCCTGGTGGTGCAGAGATTAAGTTCGCACATTCCACTTCAGTGGCCCAGGGTTTGCCAGTTTGGATCTCGGGTGCAGACCTACGCACCACTTGTCAAGCCATGCTGTGGCAGGGGTCCCACCTACAGAGGAAGATGGGCACAGATGTTAGCTCAGGGCCAGTCTTCCTCAGCAAAAAGAGGAGGATTGGTGGTGGATATTAGCTCAGGGCTAATCTTCCTCAAAAAGAAAAAAACAGAAAGTGAAAAGGCAACCTACGGACTGAGAGAAAATGTTTGCAAATTCTACAGCTGATAAGGGTGTAGTATTCAGAACATATAAAGGACTCTTACAATTCAACAATAAAAAGAAAAGTAACCCAATTTAAACATGGGCAAAGGATGTGAATAAACTCTTCTTCAATATACAAATGGCCAATAAGCACGTGAAAAGATGCTCTGCATCACTGGCCATAGAGGAAATGCAAATAAAATCAAATGAGATACAACTTCACATCCATTAAGATGCTATGCTAAAAAAAATTTAATGGAAAATACCAAGTGTTGGCATGGATGTGGAGAGTGGACCCCGCATATATCGCTGGGAATCTAAAATGGTGCAGCCACTGTGGAAAACAGTTGGGCAGTTCCTCAAAAAGCTAAACATAAAATTACCATGTGACCCAGAAATTCCACTCCTAGGTATATACCTGAGAGAATTGAAGACATATGTTCATACAAAAACTTTCACACAAATGTCATAGCAGCATTATTGGCAATAGCCCCAAAGCAGAAACAACCCAAGTCTCCATGAATGGCTGATGAATAAACAAAATGTTGTATATCCATTCTAGAAAATTAAAAGAAACCCATACACATTAGCATTTACTCCCCGTGCCCTCCTCCCTGAGACCGCTGGCAACCACTCATCTACTTTCTGTCTCTATTGATTTGCCTATTGTGGACATTTCATATAAATGGAATCATACATGTGGTCTTTTGTGTCTAGTTTCTTAGTATGTGTGTGTGTGTCTGGCTTCTTTCACTTAGCATAACGTTCGCGAGGTTCGTGCATGTTGTGGCATGTGTCAGTACTTCACTATTTTTTATTGCTGAATAATATTCCATTGTATAGATATACTACATTTTGTTTATCCATTCATCAGTTGATGGACATTTGGGTTGCTTCCACTTTTTTTGGCTTTTAGGAAGAATGCTGTTATGCGCATTCACTTAGAAGTTTTTGTGTGGCTATTTTTTGTTTCTCTTGGGTTCTTGTGTATATTTTTAAATCTGTAAAAATTTTCCTGACTTAGAAAATCATAATTCCTTTCTTGACATATGTAAAGCATTCTCATCAAAAGATAGAGAATGGACTCTATTTTCTATCACAACATCACCTCCTTAGAGCATTTAGAGCTCCAAGGGACCTAAGATACCCGTTGGGTGAGACTCTGATTTTACTGACGAGGCCTAGAGAGGTGGGGTGACCACTACAAGTCAGCCGGCCAGTGAGTGATCACGACAGACACAGAGCCATGTCTCCCAACTCCTACACCCCTTCCTATGTCGATGTGCATCAGGAATGCTTTAACCCCATGAGTCTTACCCAGAGTGAGCCATCAGCCTTACAAGAATCTGGGAGGGGAAAAGAAGAGGAAGACTCCTCCCAGAGTGGGATCTGAGGGGGCGGTAGGCCTCCCCTACCTCCCCCAAACCATCCCTCTTCTCCATAACTTGCTGTGGTACTCGCTATTCCACCAGCAGCCAAACCTATGGCTTAATGCAGGGCTCACAAACGGAAAGGCCTATGCAAGCCAGATGGTAATGGGAAAGAGCGATTGGGTGGGCTGGCAAGCTGCAAAGCACATCCCCACATGAAGGAGCTCAGGATAGCGGCTGCAGGAGCTATGTTCCTGAAGACCTAGAGTAAGTGGCTTCTGGGCCCTGGCTACAAGATTTGGCACAAGGGCCATGCTAGCCTCCCTGATCCAGGGGCTAGCTCAGATATGCCACCACAGAGGACAGCCTGTGCAGGGCAGGCTCTCTTGGCACCAGCACCTCACAGTGGCTTTGGACTGGAGCTAGTGAGTGAGAGTGGGCTTGAACTTGAGCACCAGGAGATGCTGCCATCCCCCCCATGCCTTTGTTAACTGGGGAGAACCTTTGAGGAGGTAATGACTAAAGTCCCATGTGGGGGTTGAGAGCCATCATACTGCACACAAGGGCCAGCAAGCCGGGAAACTTAGGATTCACTTCTAAAGCAATATTCTCTGTTCCATAGCACATAGAATATTTTATCATCCAAATGGGCTGATCGCCTCTTGGCTCGCATTAGTGAGATGCTATTATCTCAATAAGTGTAAATCTCAGCTCTGTTAGCTTTGGACAAGTTTTGGGGCCTCAGCTTGCTGTTCCATGGTCCTGCTATGAGCCTTGCTATGAGCATATGCATGTGCAGATGACAAGAACAGATGTCAGAGCCCCCAGGAGATCAAAGCGCCGGCGCTGCCTCAGAAAATCTGCCTAGGCCACGTAGTTCTCTGAATCTGCAGGAAGGCTGTCATAAATATTCAATACAGATTTGTTCGATTGAATCAACTCTAAAGCAAACATATTCTTCACCACTCCTATGGAAGACGAAAGCTGGCGTCCAGGCAGCTGTGACTGAAAGCCAGTCACGGGGTGGTACAGCTTGGGCGCGGTTGTCATTGCTGCCTGCCCGTCCCCTCCCCCCGCCCCCCGCCAGCATGTGAACATTTCCCCAATAGCCTAATTAATTTGGTGCAAAGAAAATTTTCTCTCCTCTGTACTAAAGCTACCCTAAAATTGTTTTTGTGGTTGGTTGTCTTTTCAAAGCTGAAAATAAGGGCACATTGTTTCTACACTGTGGACAGTGATTCCAGACAAGGAGAAACTAGAAGGGTTTTATGACTCAGGGAAAGAGAGGTCCCAGAGGGGCCCAGGCTGTTTTTCTTCTATCTTTCCCTTTTACCCTTCTCTGAATCTCCTGATTATTTTTAAAACTTTCTCAACTTGCCCCTCTGTATTTGCAGCCTTCTCTTTCTCCCCCTCCGCCAGCCTGCTCCGGGCCTCTTCTGCCCTCCACCGCCTCTCCACATTGCAAGGCCCATATTTTTGCCTGAGCTTCTCTCTCACATTTACTCAGAAGCTCAAAATTATTTTTCTCTTGTGGATAAAAATGAGCAGAATGCCAGTAGGACGATTCTAAAAAAGAGAAGCTCCTACGTGCCAGCTCAAGCTGAATCCTTCTTATGAGAGCATGCTGAATTGACTGCATTGTTTTGCAATGTTTTGTTCAACTGGCCGACTCCATTGTCTTTTAAATTGTGCACTTTTCTGTAGAGGCAGTTCACCAGTACAGCTGGATAAAACAAATGTTGGATGGAAAAAAAATCAAAAGTAGATATTTTCAAGACCTATCCTAGCATCATTAAGGTTATCTATGCCAAAATCTGCATCTGGTAGTAAAATTTTTCTCTTTTTTATAACATTGTTTTCTCCAAAGAACCGTCCAAGAGTTGCTACTGTGTGGTTTTAACAGGCGTGTCTTCCCGGCTGACTTTGCCTGGTAGAGGTTGGAACCCAGCGCTCAATAGACACAAAATTCTGATGAGTTCGTGATGTCCAGTTGAAGAAATTACCTGCCACCAAGGATAATAATTGACAAGGCTGGTGCATTTTGCCATATGGCACGAGCTATCTCTGTCCCCAAATATGCAACTCTCATGGTGTGACAAATTGTTTGTGGGATGACACACGTTACAGCCCAGACAGTTAGACAAAACACCCTGTTGGAGTTGAAACCACAGTCTAAGGCCCCTGAATAAGAAACATGCAAAATCACACCTGCT